AGATCAGGGTGATGGACACGGGCCTATTCCTGCCCTAGGCGCTCCCAAGGGGGATTTGCTGCCTTCTCATGGACCGCAAAGGCCTTTACTCAGAGACAAACTTCACTTCGCCTCCCCAAACCAACGTCCAGCCTATTCCACGGCTTCTGACTGTGGGAAACCCTGCTCCCCCTCCGCTCCCTGCTCCGTCCCCGCTCACAGCTGGAGCCCCTCGGAGATCAGGGGCTGTTGCACCAGCACCTCCTGCTCCCAGGAAGGGAGTAAGGGCACAAGGATGCTGGATGCTGCCCTTTCAGCTGCAAAGAAGGCTCGTTTTACCATCATATCCCAGGAGGTCACCAAGCACGTCATCGATAGAGCCTGAAAGGAGACAAATTAAAGGTGTTGAGGCAGGTGAGCTCACCAAGCCAGTGGAGAAAAGCATCCAATTTCAATACGGCTTGCTCTTTTGAGATCCCACAAGAATAAAGGTTTGGTTTCAAGCATCATCAGCGTAAGGCCTTCCTTCCTGGTCTACGGAGAGCTGCCACGGCCAGGACTCGATCCAGTATTTTATGGATGTAAGATTTGGCTTCGCTTAGCCAGAAACAGGATTTCTTTATCAGGCGAGCCAGCTGCTTTCCATTCAGTTAGTTGCTGGCCACAAGCAGCACCTAATCTGTGAACTCCCACCCTGCGGTATCTCAGAGCCCCTGGGCAACCCCAAAAGCATCGCTTCAGTGTCAGGGGCTGCAGGAGGCCTCTAAACAAGCAGTTAGGGAGCAGGTGAAGGGAAGAACCAAAATAAATGCATATATTCTCCCCTGGATTTGGGAAAGCCCACAAGAAAGGCATATAGGACCCCAATAAGCAAATCCACTTGATGTGAGAGGCAGGGGAAGCTCACTGGTTCAGGAACGACACGATGCGCCCAACTGCAGCTACCAGACGAGGACCACGAACAGTTCAGTAGCCAGGACTGCCACCCGGCCCCAGTGTCCCCCCTCCTCCGTCCCACGCATTCCCAGAAGATCAAAGCGCCTACGGACAGCGAAAGGAAAGCACGCGAGCGTACGTACCTCTTAAACCCTTCTTGGGTTTTGTAGCCTATGGAGAAAGACAAATTCCCTCATTAGAAAACAAAGCAAGCAGGCCTGACCTGGACTTTCTCAAAGCACTAAAGCCAAAGGAAGGTTCCTCCAGAGAACCCCACGAGCACCGGTGATGCTCTCCTCCCGCCCACGTGCTTGGCACATGAAACGCCGGGCAATCACAGAGATATTTACAGCTTTGGAGACACCAGCGAGCCCAGCCCCTCCTGCCCGGCAGCCCGGCAGAAGCCTCCAGCCCTCGGGATCGCTTCTGCCTCCGAACAGAGGTGCCAGAGCATCAAAGCTGGATTTCCCAGGCCTGCCTTCGTACCGCCTCACACTCACCATCGCAGGATCCCAGCCTTCCCCTGCTCCAGCAAGTCCGTTCACAGACTCGTCCGATCCCCACCTCCGCGGTGCGGGGGATCCAACGCCGCCGGTCACATCCGCGCCAACCTCCCGCCTGCGGGGAGAGGAGGATTTCCCCGTTTGCTGTTACCAAACGTCCCTCTCCCGCTCGGGGCCCTCTGCAGCACGCCGGGCTGGCTCCCTGCCGCTCGGACCTCTCCGAGCTGCTCTAGCCAAGGCTCAGGCTGACTCTTAAAAACAACCCCTTATTCCCCAAAACAGCCTTGAACGTCACGCCGACACCAAGGAATCGCTCTGCCAAACAACCCGAGAGGGAGCAAGTGCCACCCGCCGTCCCCCACGTGTGCTGGCCCGAGCAGGGAGCCCCAGGGTGGCTCCTGCTGGCCCAGAGCCCGGACAACACGGCGGGGGGCCGGGGAGGGAAGACGAAGCATCCGGTCCTTGGGTGCGCAGGAGGCGCGGGGACCGGGGCGCG